GAGGCCCTTTGTCTTGAGGGGAGGCCTGGGAATCAGATAGCCTCCTGACCCCACCAGTTGTAAAACCTGCAGACCTCAGGATGTGCTAACTAATGGTAGCTATCTCTTTGGTTCACAGGGACCCTTAATTGTTAATTATTGACACATTGGCCAGTGGGGCAATATGTTCACTTCATGAGCCCCTCAGGGAGGGTGGCCATCTGGGAATTCTTGGTACCCAGTTATCTTATGGCCTTGTAAGGGAGTAATTGCTGGTGGCTGGTAAATTCCAGGCACTAAGTCATAGTAGTAGCCTTGGTCAGTTTCTGGGCTATATTTCTTTGCTAATTTTTAAGTCTTTCAAAAGCCCTCTGGAGTTCTCATGGTACCATCACAAGACACACAGCAGTCTGTGCCTACCTTTCCTGAGAGCCTACGAGAACCTTCAAGGCAGAGACCAAATTTCATGCAACCTTGGAGCCAAACTAGTACTTCGGTCCTTCATGAGAATGAATGCATGGGTGGATGAATAAATGAATTCCTGGAGAGCCATCTCACCTTCCTATCTATAGCAACTGTCAATACCTAATCACCCCAAACTTTGTCGCCATCTCCCCGTCCCTTAGGCACAATGTGTACCCAGGTATGCTCTCAGGTCTTTGAACCTTGTCCTACCATATTGACCTTAGAAGGAAGACACCTTCATAGAATTCTAGATAAAGATTCCCAGGGGTTTTTTATTTGTTTGTTTGTTGTTTTGCTTTTATTTTTAACTCTTTCCATCTTGCTAAGGGTCCTCATGTTGTCAAATACTTCCTGGATGTGATTAAATGCACAGGATCAAGTTGGTCAACATCCCAGCATGGAAGACAGCTCATGAAACCCCACCTCTAGCTGAAGAGTTACTGCCAACTGATAGTTCTGGAGGAGGGATAGCCATTGTCCTCCAGGGATATGACCTTGGAGAGGCCACCGATGCTTCACGAGGTGGCACTACAGCCATGCACATGCAGGCAGCACAAAGTCGACTAGGTGGGTTGTCTTTGTTTGGTTTTTTAAGAGCAGCTGAAGGTGAGAGGAAATGGTAGGGGTGGGGCTGTGGCAGGGAGGGGTAGAATTGGATGGGTAGAAATGGAGTGGATTTAATCAATAGACATTAAATGCTTGTATGCAATTCTCAAATTAAAAGACAATGTGGCTTACTTAAGGCAACTCATTGCTTTGTATACATATCTAAAATTTAATTTAAAAAAGAATACAGCCATAATGTACGAGATGGGAATGTCAGTTTTTCTGTTTATAGGAAGATAACAAATCAAGAGTTTCAATAATATATCGTTACATGCACGGGGACCTGGACTTTTAACTTCAGGCTTATGACATGACTCTAATCTCGTCTTATGACATGATGTTGCTTCTCTCATAGGCCACTGGGCACAGCAATGTCAACAAGATTCCCTATGCTTCTAGAAGTGCCAATGTTCTGTGTCTTTACATCATCCAGAGAGCAAGGTGGTCATGGGTCCAAGGGGTGGATCCTGGTCCCATGATCACTTGCTATTGACGTTGGTTGAGACGCTGAGGACTTTTGTGTGCTCAGCTTCCTTAGACGAATAATAGTGTGAGGTGAAATATCTGCTGATTCCAACTTCAGGAGGCACCGATGCAAGGATCATCTGTGGAGGCCTCACATCTAACAGGATCCTTGAAGGCACTCTGATCCATACATGTGCAGTGATGTCAGCCTTATCAGAGGCTGGGGATGGATCACGAACCAAAAACATGTGGGGCTAAAGGCAGAAAATAACCAAACCCAACACAACTTTAACTGTCCAAGTTCAGTTTACTATCTCATGAGTAACTAAGGCATGGGAAGGTCGGGCCTTAAAATCAGGTGAGCTCTGCAGAAGACTTAGATGCTGGGAGAAGAAAACATGGCAAAGACAAACATGCACAGGGCCACCATCTAGAGGATTCCTGGAGAAACTGGGGATGGACAGTGACACTGTTGTGTCACATTTGGAGAGACTGGGATGGACAGTAACACCACTGTGTCACATTTGGATGTTCTGAGGATGTTAGGAAACCCACTGGTAGGATTCAGGAGAAGAACTGGACAGATTTCCATTCTGGTCGTGGCCTACAAAAGTGGATAGACAGCTCAAGTTTCAGTAGCCAAGGGAGACAGAAAACCCTGTACCCAGGGAGAGGCTGGATTTCTGAATAGCATGTGACACTCAGGTCTGACATCAATGCCCCAGGCTGGCAGCCAGTGGGAAGTTCTAACCCCACAAATGCTTCTAGGGTTTGTATGAGGTAAGACACAAGGCCACTTCTGGTGCAGAACTGCTGAGAAGGCCCCAGGAAACCTTTAATTCTAGTATTAGAATCGACAAACAAGGCCATGCTGAGCACAGCCTGTGGCTGGCCTGTGAAAGAGATATTAGCAGGGCACAGTGACACAGTGGCCCAGATGTGAATTCCTGCTCTGCCTGTGACATTGATCAAGCTGTGTAGCTTTGCCAAGTATGAGTCTCTCCTTGCCTGTGAGGCAACAACACTAGTCCACTGAACAATCTCACAGCCCCACAATTAGAAGAAAGACACTATTGAAATGCTTGCAACTATTTAATTAATGTTATCATGCCCCTAATTATGGAAAATTCTAACCTGAAATTTAAGGTAGTTCCATCTTTTCGACCTTCCATTAATGAGTTGGATTGTGGTCCCTAAAATCATAAGTTGAAGCCTTCATCCTGGCATCTTATGTGACCATGACCTTATATGGAGATAGGATGTGCTCAAGTGAGGATGAGGTCAAGTTGGCTTCAATCCAATGACTGGCATCCTACCTCAGCAAATGCAGAGCAGAGAACACATACAGCAATAGAGCCAAGGAACCCCAAAGACTGTTAGCAACCAGCAGAAGTCCTAGGAGCCCTGCATGAGGAATAACACGACTGATCCTGGACCTAGACCTCCCACCTCCAGGACTCTACAAGAATAAGAGTCTGTGGCACTTTGTTGCTGTGGTCTTAGAAAACAAATGTCACAGATGGATCCCATTGCTAAATCAGAAAGGCAATAAATGGGGGGGGGGGGGGGAAATCAAGAAAAGGAACA